TGCATCTTTCTACTATCCTGAGCAGCTGAAGTTCCGTGGAATGCTTTCCTCGGAATCCAAACTGTTCAGGCGGAAGCAAATCAAGCTCGCTCGTTACCTCCTTGAGTCTCCTCAGTATAGCCCTTTCGGCTACTTTACTGAGAGCGGGCAACAAGCTGATAGGATTTCAAAGAATGAAATAAGTTATTTAAGCAAAAGTATTAATTTATGTTTTATTTGAAGCAATTTAAGTAAATACCTACTTAGTTTAATGAAATGGAAGCTAATTAATTCTGTTACATTTTCTATAATGTATTTTTCGTGGTGATTTTTAATAATAATAGACACAAAAAATAATTTCTGATTTTTCCACAAATTAAACAGAACAACCCGCTGGGAGATGTTATGTGGTCAACAGCTGGTTACACATTCCAAGACTGACAGCTGACCGCCAGTCTAAATAATAATACTAAGGCTTGTTCTATGTCTGAATCTAAATATCTGTTTCATTTGCAAACAGATTGTTAAAGAATTTACAATTTGATAATATATATCTAGTATATACACCAAATTCTGTAATAATGCCTGATCTTTTAGAAACAATATGTTTTTTCATCGAAACAAATTTGGCATATTCACTTACTGCTTTCTCGGTTTTGGTACTTTTACTAATAATATTTTTTGGTTCTGGAGGTAAGTTACCTGGAACGATCTAAGATCTAAAGTTACATATGCTGAAATATCTTTTCTGTTTAAGATGCCAATGATGAACCAGTTAACAGGCCTGCCCAGGTTATTGCTGCTGTGCCAAGAAGACGAGCTCCACATAGACGTTTCAGGCCACAAGGTAATATTCCAGTTATTAATTTGCGTTTTGATTGTAAAACAAATATTCATACTCTTTGACAAAGTCAATAAACTTTCAATGTGTAACTACATTCGTAAACATTTATATTTTATACCGATAAATTGGATAAGATTATACATATTGTAGTATCTGGATGCTATAGCGACGCGTGTTTTAATACTTTGAGGTGCACAATCTTAGAAAATCGTGAAAGAAAGAAGGTTTGGCTTAATTTATGAACCCTCCAGGCAAAATTTTCACTGAGTGCTTAATTTGAAGTGATCTTTATGGTAAGAATAGAGAAAACTACAAATTCCGAGAACCTCAAGCGACATTATCACCGAGAAGAACATTTATATACATATGATGTGTGTTCATAACGTTAAACGCTTTTGGATTCCCGTTTGCCAGGCTTGCCTGTTTTGTCAGTCATCCTCAGAGATTTCTGACTGACATCGCTTTTATAATCCCTTGTATCCAGGTTGTTGGCGGTCATCTTTTTCTTCTTTCTGGGGGTATCCACTCCAATATTTTCCTTGGCAGTGTTCCTTAGTAGTAAGTGTTATATGTCATGTCATGTTTTTCTGTAAATGTCTTCTACGATTGTTTCTTTTACTTTTATTTGTTTTCTTAAGCCTTAATTTTTCAGATGTTCCAATCTAGATTTTATCGCTGCTCTTCTCCAAAAATTCCTTTTAACTGCTACTAAATTGTCCGTAAGTTTTTATTCGAAAGAATCTCAAAGTTTTTTCGATGGGAAGCGATGATCAAAAAGAAGCACTTTTCTTTACTGTTCATTTGTTTTACTTTTTTTTTTTTTTGTCCTGCTCCTTATTAGGGCAATTTTACCGGCTCGCTACTTTTTAACTTTTGCATGTGCACGGCTGGGATTCGAACCTCGCACCATAGTTTATTATTTTACTTACTCTATGCTCGCACCTTCAGGTTGCTAGCTGCTAGCCTGTCGGTGCGACCGCTCGGCCACCATGAAGGCATTTGTTTTACTTTTACACACATGCGCGCAAAAGTAAATCTGACAAATTCGACGTGCCACTGTCATAAAATATTTTGAAGTATTTTCATTAGAAAGTAAACGACAGGCTTTTTTAATGAATTACGTAGGTTTATAGAGAACTATTGATCATAATTTAAAGTTTACTTATAATTTCGAAGTTATAACTTTGTTACAAGTTCAGTCTCAAAGTCATTCAAATGGTCTATTTTTTGCACTCGCCGATGTTGCCACAAACAAAACTCGATGTTTTTTAAAAAGCCCAAATTTTTTGCAAAATATGCATCTTATACAAACACCATACCGTGAAAGCAGCACTTGGATTGTTTCACTTGTATTTGCTTACAAAAGTACTCTTGAAAAATTACAAACGTCAAACATGACAATTTCAAAAATGGCATTGACATCAAATTTTAAATATGAAGTTGACGGCTTTTATTTCTGGCTATGTTTATTTATTATAACTTATTATTCGTGTTATGTCCTTTGTTCGAATAAAAAATATTGTTCGGTTCGAGGGCGAAAATCTCTTTCGCCCTTGTATCGAAAACTACTATTTTCTGTTAATTGTCATACTTTTGAGCCATAGATAGCAACTTTCATATTCAATATTCAATTTGTTGATTGATTTCAATAAGATATTGTTCTTTGTCTCTGAGCTTATGTTTTTCTGCCTTAATATTTAATATTGATTTTAGTGCCCCTGCCACTTGTCTGGTTATTCTGTCCTCAGATCGTCCTGTCTGGGTCATTTTTTTTGCCAGATATATGCATTTATCATCCTATCATCTTATTTTTTTATGTTCTAGGTCCAGGTCATCTGCCGATTCTTCCCCTATGTACAGATATTGGGTTTTGTTTCAATTTACCTCTAGTTCCCAGTTTTTGCATTCTTTCTATCAGCTTTCTGGACATACATATACTCAGGTCTTCCTTGTCTTGAGCAATTTTTACCTGGTCATCTGCATAGTGTGGTGTGTATAACGTGGTATCTCCGATATTCAGTTCCGTTCCCTTACACTTTATTTTCCATTGTTTGAGAGTTTCATCTACATATATTATAATAGATAATATATAATACATAATAGTATGGCCAGGCAGCAGCCCTGTTTTAGACCTCTAATCACTTTGACAACGTAAGATATTTTTTCCGTTTTTATTATATTATATTTCCGTTATATTATGACACTTGTGCTGGTTACCCAGTTTTCAGTTTCCATTTTAGATAAGTTCTGCGTATATTCCCTCTGGACCGAAGCGGATCTATTTTTTTTAAATAATATGGCTTTTTAAGATCTTTTAAAAGTAGTAATTACTGGCTCCCCTTCTACCAGTAGGTGCTTCGTGTTGATGGATTGTATTGTATTCAGGCTTTTTTCCACTAGTAATTCTTGTGTTTGTCAAATTTTTCAGGATCTATGGAGTTTATTATTATTGTTAAATTTTGTTGCATCTCATATTTTTTATAAACGTTCAGGATCTTTTGATTTCCTTTCACCAATAAATGTATGTAGTTCCTGACATTTATTTTCCCAGCTTTGGTTTTTTGCTTCTATTACCGCAGATTTAAATTTAGTTATTATATGTCTATATTGTCTTTTATGTTCTTGTTCTGTCGTATTCAACCATATGTGAACGAAAAATCAAAGAAAGCTTTTCACCAAAAAACTTTCAAGAATGATGAAGTTGATTTTATTAAAAAAGACATAGAAGGCGTTAGCAGCAACCGAAATTAAACGGTAATGCGAGGGGAGTTTGTCGTTTTCCTAAAGTACGATCCATATTTTTTTAATTCCACCTTAATCGTGTTGCTATTGATAGAATCATTACGTGTATCTTATTATATTCAATTCTAGTTCAAGATCTAAACGAACCTCCAAGTGAAGACGAAGCAGAAGTTCAGGAAATAGAGCTACCTGATGGGAAAATTGGCGCAAAGAAGAGAGCTAAGCTGGAAGCAAAGGCTGAAAAAAAAGCGGCGCGTGAAGTTGAAGAGAAATCCAGATTAGAAAGGTATTGTTATTTAACGGTTTAACGTTACAACTATTTTAGATTGACCGAAAAAACAATTTCTTCTTTTACCTTCATTCTAGTCATATGTGTTCCTTCTTTGCATTTTGTCTCAACTTACCACATCATCTGCGACCTATAGGATGTGTATTTGTGTCCTTTATATGTTCCTAATATCCTTCCTTCGAAATCTACCCAGAAATGTGTGTTCCAGTAATCTTTTTGAGTGATCGATGTCGTGGAGTCATAAAATCGATCAAAAACATTTATCAGACTATGAAGGCTTTCACGGCCGGTTAAATTACATTTAGGAATGTTTTCCGGGCTTTGAAGCCGTGGTCTATCGGAATTTCTTCCTGACGTTTCGTCCACACCTGCGGTGGACATTTTCAAAGGCGATGAGGCAGTGGGCGAAGTGATCTCCCGTGCTTTCCGACTAAGACTGATTCAACTGCTGGATTCCCCGTCGTATTTATGCAGCCCAGCCGTGTGTGCTCATGCGTCGGGGATGGGTACCCGGGGGGATACTATCCGAGACTCACCAGAGAGGCCATAGAAATATTTAAACACCAAAACAATTTTAACAGAAAAGAAGAAATTACGGCACTCAATCCAGATTGGAAGCGCGTTTTGCGCCAAACAGCATGTGCGCCGAAGCGTTGGAACCCCACCTATCCCCCACGCATGAGCACACACGGCTGGGCTGCATAAATACGACTTCGCCTACTGCCTCATCGCCTTTGAAAATGTCCACCGCAGTTGTGGACGAAACGTCAGGAAGAAATTCCGATAGACCACGGCTTCAAAGCCCGGAAAACATTCCTAAATGTAAAAACATTTATGAAAACTACAGCTTGTTTCCGCTAAGACGTCAATTTATCTTTATTGTCTCCTCATTACGCTCCACATTTGGATTCCATAGATCACACTCCATTCTCTAGTATTTATTTTCTTAGTTCTTTACTGTATATTTTTCATTGTTCTCACTCACAGCGGAATAATAAACCAAAAAATAAACCTACTCCACTTCAAGTTCTTTTATTATTTAGGCAAAAGAAACTCGAGCTAGAAGAACTAGAAAGAGCAAAGCAAAAGGAAAAAGAAGAGGCTGAAGAGAAAGCAAAGGAGGAGGAAGAAAAGAGAGCCAAAGAAGAAAAGGAAAGGAAGGAACAGGAAGAATATCTAAAAATGAAGGAAGCTTTCCAAGTAGAAGAAGAGGGATACGAAGAAGGTAAGCTATTGGCGCACTTTTAGTCCTAGGTGTGAATTATTTCGAAAATCTCTAGGTGATCAAGAGGATTCCCAAAACTTGCTCCAGGAATTTGTTAACCACATAAAAGATAACAAAGTAATTATAATTGAAGATCTGGCAGCACGTTTCAAACTGAAAACCCAAGCCTGTCTTGACCGTATCAAGGATCTACAGAATGATGATATTCTGACCGGAGTTATAGACGATCGCGGAAAATTTATTTACGTCTCTAAAAGCGAAATGGACGCTGTTGCCAAATTTATTAGACAACGGGGCAGAGTTTCTATTGCCGAGTTAGCTGAGAGTAGCAATCAACTAATTAATTTGATTCCTGTAACCCAGTAGCGAAACAATTTGATTGATTAGAATTTAGACATTTAACATTTGAAATAAGTAATTAATCATGTAAGTTTTCCTTTCGACATAAACAATGTTCCTGGGGTTTAGTCATTTATTTAGATTATCATAATTTAGTCATTAAATAAAAACGTTTCGGTGTTTTCCCACCGAAACCGAAAATTAATCAGTTTGTTCGTGTAGACACAAAACAACTGGATCGATGGTAATGATAAACAATATCTTCGCGGAATAGAACTTATTTGCATAATAAAATAGCGCGTAGTCAATCTGGATTGGTTTTATTCAACCTTAGTATCCCAGACTAGCGGGACCAATATAATTATAGTATTTTCAAAACTTAGGTCATTATGGTGTTAAATCTTTTATTAAATTACAAACCATATTTCTGATATAAAAATGTAACTAATCGTCCTCTTCTGCAGACATTTCTTCTTCACTAGTTACATCCGGATCGTCAATTTCCGCTAAACATTTTGAACATTCACAAGCGAATAAGTAATTTTCCATCAGAGTTTTTCGTCTGGAATGTCTCGACCTTTCGTTATCGCAATCTCCCAAGTAACTAATGCATATTTCTTCACCTGGTTGAATGTCTTTCAATGCAATCAGTGACAACCTGTATAAACCAACCGAATTAATTATGGTTTTAAATATTTTAAAGGCTGAAAATGTACCTGTAATTATTGTGTACAAAGCTAATTTCAGCATTTGGGTCACAACTATGATTAGCACAGCTTTGTCTGGCATACAGGCCGACTCCTTCACTGTTCAAAAAGTCTCCTGTATGACTATACATCTCATCGTATATTCTGTCAACTAGAGAATCTATTTGCTCTTTTTGTTCTGCAGACAAATTCAGTTTTTCGACATTTCGTCTCCAAGAACTAAAGGGACTGGAGCCCACTCCTTGGCCGTTCGTGCCTACATTTGAAAATTCTATATTTCTTAAGCTGTTATATTGAAACAAGCTACATACCGATTAGAGCAACAAGAGATTGAAAACCTTCTTGTGTTAAAAACTGTTGAACTTTAGGATTAGGTAAAGCATTTGCAATCAGCTCTCTAAGTAAATTAACTTGATGCGAAAACTTTTTTCCTAGGAATTTGTGAGCTAATTCTGCATCTTCATTAACACTCCGGTGGCAGAAACTCAAAGTCGTTTCAATTGCTTCTTCTGTATTAGGAGCTTGGATAATTTTTGCCAGCAATCTCACCATAAGAAAAATTGAGGATGTTTCTGGAGGATAGTGGATTTGTCTGCAATAATAAAAATATGCTTATTTCAGACAACAAGAACATATCTATCTAGTTGAGAACCAAAACAATTACTGTTAAAAGTCAGTAGGTACTTTGTAAAAACGATAGATGATGTTTTTGTCAGTGTTTAAAAATTTAGAATAAACACATAAATCTTACTTCCATGCCTCTTGCAGTTGAATTATTGGATGCGCACTTCTGTCGTCCAAAGTTCGAGAGCAAATGGTTTTATGATACTCATCAAACGCGAGCGTTTTGCAGTTTTCTGAGCAATACTCAGTGCTACAATCCGGGCATCTGATAATGTCTTCTTTCTTAGTTGTGCAGCATTGTGGGTACGGCAATACCCAGCTTGAATTTCCAGTGAGTCGCCTCACGTTTTCTTCAGCAGTTTCTAATGGTCTGGAAATATGCTTATTATAGACAGCGGATAATTTTCTTACATGTAGTCAAATAAATATGAACGGTATCAACTTTTAAAGTAATTGTGTACTCACTTTCTAAATTGTTTAATACATTGTTGGATTAAGTTTGGAAATCAGGATAATATTAAAAAACTGAGTTTGTGAGCTTTTCAATTACATAAGGGTGTCCGAAAATGACGTTTGGTCTTCTGGAAGGGACTTCGGTGCCAAAAAAATGCAGTTTTGGGTTTTTTAATTCTTATTAATGGAGCTACGGCTGATGGTATTTGAGGATATGCGCAAAAATTTAGAACATTACCGTTAATGAACATTTTTAACCAAAATCCGTCAATTGCTTTCTCTATTTGAAATTTGCTTTTAAAGTTTCCAAACGTCATTCAAATAATAATTCATACTTTATCGCTCACAGGCACATTATTCCATTTGAATATTGTCTCGGTCGAGTTTAAATAGACATTAGAATAGTGTGCGCTACTTTTGAGACGCAAGTGCGAAAATTTGCGCTAAGTAAAGTACAAAATTGAAAAATCCTGACTGAGAAGTAAGTATGGCATTCCAGTCAACGTTTAAGCTGTAAAGTTACATCAAAATACTTGTAAACAGTATTTATAATCGAACACTTAATATTTAGAGATGATTTTAGAACCCAGACAAGTTGAGCCAACACATCATCAAACTACATGAAAGAAGTAGTAAAACTAATCTAAATATTCAGAGTGAATCAAAAGTAAATTTATCCGGGGAAAGAGATTATATCTGCAATAAACATAAGTTTAAGAAAATCTTATTAACGGTAATCCCGACCCCGACAATTATAGAAATCTTGTATCGGTCAAGAAATTATCTCCTAAGTTAATTCCTCCGCTAAATGGAGAATAATAAAATTGATCGATATTAATTTTTTTCACTCTCAAATTTAAAAAAGTAGGAATTGTTAAAGCTTGGGTCTGCAATATGCAGTTGAAACATTAAAGTTTTTTCCTTCCAACTTTCTATCTGTAGAAATTCGCCGAAAATTGGTTTCGAGATAAAATATCAACCAACTTTTGAAGCATTCTTGGGTCGATTCGAAGTTTGGCTAACCAAATTCCACCGTTTTGCGGCTTCTAATTTTTTAGCCAAAATAGCCAACCTGGCTTAACTGGTTTTTTGGCTAAAAAATATTTTTCTAAACTTTTGAGTTGATCCAGAATTAAAGCGCTTTTATCTCATAAACCGTTTGAAAAAATATAAATTTGAAAAAATATAAATTTGCAAAAATTAATAAAGCCGTTGCAACTTGATTAAAGTTTGACAAATTGCGTTAACAAATAAAATTGAATTTTAAATCGAGTCTAAACAATATTCCGGAAATTTCTTAACGTTTGGATTCAATTGTAATTTGATTTTCAAAGTTTTTAAAGCGATTTTGCAGTTTGAACAGATTTTAGACTTCGTGAAGCTTTTTCGAGATCATTCAAAGATTTGCGCTTAATAGAACCACAGTTGTCCATCTAATTTAAAACTTCAAACAACCAAAATTTACAATATTGGATGAGTCTATGCTAAAACGGCCTGTAATGAAAAACAAGCTTTTAATATTTATATGCATATAAAAGCATGCTTTGCTCCACTACAACTAAGTTCACTTTACTTTAGTAGAAATCATATTTTTATAATATTTATATGAGCAAAATGATTCAATTTTTCCAACAAAATAACTAGGTATTGTTACTTGAATTTTCACCAACTTTCCATAAACAGAGAAATTTGGTTCACGATGCTGTCCATATAATGGCTAGACGGGATTTAAGCAATGTTTATGGTAATGAATCGAAATTGAAAAACATTTTCATTTATGGTGTCTTTTGAATTAAATCTCTTATCATCTATCATCTCATATAGCATCTATAGATGAATATTAATGTTCCCAGACAAAAAATACTACATTATCACATTATTCGGTTTTTCATCCTATCTCCCATTTAAATAACCATGTCTTGCAAACAGTTCCTTTCCGGGCTTATGTTGAGAGAAACTGCTTTTCTATTCAGGTCAGGGGTACCTATCCCTGAAAGTTACGTTAACTTTTGAATCATCCCGTATGTACCTACCATATATCTCATAATTATACTAGTCTTTAAATGCGGCCACAAGCCGAACAAACCTAAATTTTGGATGTAGAAACATTCGTGTAAAAGCGATAGTTTGAAAGTCAAAATCACCCAATTTCCTCCATACCTCAAACAATGATTGCAGGCTTTATACATGCAAGTTTCGTTCCAAGAGAATTGGCAAGACACCAGTGGGATCTCCTCAAATATTACCGCATCTTTGGCAATGTGAGTTACCGCATGCAGGCACTTTCCCTATGATACAATTGCAATAATGAAACGTTTTAGTTTTTCTACCAATTTCTACCTTTCCAGTCGTCGACAGTCGAATTTCAGTATTCATGTTCTCGCTGGTGTTTGGACTTATTCAAAATAATATAAAACGTTTAAAAATATTATGTATTTCTTTTAAATTATAATAACTTAGGTTAAGTTACTGGGTGAAACATTGACGTTAATCTCAAGGAAAATGATGTCGTTGGCAAAAGAAAGAGAGGGTGGTAATTTGGGCAAGAGATGTATCCAATTTACAAGGTGATTTAAAATTGGCCTAATTTATTTTAAGGGTTAAGTTAGGGAGCACAAAAAAAATAAAAAATGAAATTATTCCTCAAGAAGTTTAGCTGTTGAAGATACAATTTTCGGTTTGCTCTTAAGCAGCATTTTAAAGTAGTTCAATGGGCGTCTGGCAGACTAGCAATATAGCTAAATATTGCAGAGAAAACACTTCAAAATGTGCTCAAATTTACGCAAATTCTCTATTTGGGAAATTATTTCAATCAATTTTTTATGAAACACTGCAGTGGCAACCGCGGAACCAACCAGTTAATTGGTGACAACCATGCCGATCTCTATCTGCAGTTGTTTTTCATATCAACGTTACATTTATTTTTGATGTCAATGTTACATTTATTAAAGGTAGTTTTGAAATTGTGCTCCTCAAATCTTAAAACGTCTAAACGTCTTAATTGTTTGTCCAAGGTGTGTCTAGAAAAGAGTGCCACTAGAAATACACAGCAAAAGTGACTCAGTTGTTCAGTTCTGTTATAGTGATTAGTAATAATTTTGCAATCAATTTTGGATATACAACTTATATAATATGGCAAGTACCCTCGTTTTTATCCATGCGGGTACCCGGGTATAAGCCTTGTTCTATGGTACCTACGCATTGAAGGAATCGTTCTCCATATAAAAAATTGCAATATTTTTGTACTGAAGAGTGATGATATTGAACATATGAATAATACATAAGATAATGTAACCACAGCTTGTAGCTATTTAACTGAACTGTATGTAACTGAAGAGAAGAAAATAGCGCCCTTGAGAAACACAAACATAACCACAATTTAATTCCTAACTAAACTTTGAAACTATGTACCACTAAATATAAAAATGAGCGCCTGTGAAATGAAACGTGTTTCAATAAGGCCTAGAAATCCCAATCCACTGTTTGAAAAATGGTTAATTCAATGGATAGACCAGGCACCGATTGGCGAAGGTACCAAGCAGTTTGTGAACTTCCCGAAGTGATTTTCTTATTTTAGATTCAAAAATCAATTTTCCCCGAGCTTTAAAATCACTGAGATTGTACCCCTTGCCCTTAGAATCGGGCAGAGAATGTAGAATTTTGAAAGGCTTTAATCTGAGACTGTGCGCTCTGCTTGGTGAAAAGTTGAATAAGTACAAAGCCAATGGAAGTAGTAAAGAAGAACAAATTATATCCCCAATTACAATAGATGAAGAAACAACGCACCAAGAGACAGTTTTGAACATTACAGGTAGACACTGGGATTTATATTTATAATAACCATAGGCAAATACTTACCTACTTTGAATTCATGTAGATAAAAGCTCGAAGTCATACGTGCCTAAATATCGCTCTGGGGCATATGCAATTTTAATAGCCTTGTATGGACAAAGTAAATTGGAGGATTACCCTGGATATCTTTTAAAAGCTGATATAATTAAGCATGGCAAAGATTTTCTGGACTCATCTTTCACTAAACCCGAACCTGGCTCTAGATATACGGCTTGGTCATCAATGGCTACGTTGATATCAAAACGTTTAGTTTCAAAAGTTAGCAATCCAGCTAAATTTTCTTTAACAGATGAAGGACGGATTATAGCTGAGAAATTATACGAACAGACTAAACGCCTTGAATTGGATAGCAGCCAGCTAATCACTTCAAAAACTAATAATAAAGTTAGGTATGAAGTTGCATATGCTGGAGTAGCAACGAATGAACCAGAAAATTTCATTATCGATTTGGAGGATGATAGTTCTGACGGAGAACCCAAAGCTGGCCATATTCAAGTATCTTATGGAACCAGCAGATTGCTTTCAGAAAATGTAGTTTCCGATTCCGAAAACGGCTCTAACAATCAGAAGAAAAGACTTCTTAGCAAGTTTGCATCGACTGACACAATAAGCTCATGTTCAGTCACACGACCAAATAAGAAACAGAAGACTGGTTCAGTAAAGATGTCATCTGCAAGCTCAGTAAAAAAAGCTTTGTCATCTCAGAGCTCAAGCACACAGTTAAATAACCATCACATTAATCCAGGAACAGCTCCACAAATACATTTCATTTTGAAACCGCATTCATTCGACATCGTTTTGTATGTGGATAAAAATGAAACTTCAGGGTAAAGTAACTTTGTTATCCTTTGTAATCTTAGTAGTCGGTGTTTAAAATCCGTTTGCTGCTTCTAACCCAAAGGTCTAGTAAACAGAAAAATGTACAAGTTGCACTTGTACATCTTCAAATGAAAAATAGCTCGCTACAGAGCACAGATTTCACTGGTGACAAACATGCGAATTAATTCGAATGTTTTAATTCTTGTACATTATGAAATACCTTGTATTTTAATGAAAATTGAACAAATCCGTGATCCTGCTTATTTTTGTGAATATTCACCTAAACAGTCCAACTTCAAGCAAACAAATTATGGTTTTAAAAGTCGACATGAATATATTTTACAAAAGCAACTTAAAAAGAAAAAATATCAAACTTTAATACTAGGAATGAAAATGTCGTAAAAGTAAACGTAATATAAAAGTTGGAATTTGAGATTGAATTGTCACCAATTGCCTCCAAATATCGGAAAACTGGCTCTGTTTTTCAATATTTTATCCACAAGAAGTTTATATATCTCCAAGTTAATGGTATTTTTTATAAAGATTTTGTAATATCCAAAAACATTCTTTATTTCAAATTTTATCCAGAAACCGTTTAATGCTGTATTAAACTATTCAGGTCCTTAAATGTGAAAGACGACAACCTTCTAAGAGAATTGGACAAATCCGGTGTAAAATACGAAGTAAAGGATTTAAAAGTTGGTGACTTTACCTGGACTTGCAGGGACCGATCAAATCAGAATGAACTAGTTTTACCGTATATCATTGAACGAAAGCGAATGGATGATTTTGCCCAAAGCATAAAGGATAGGAGGTAAAATGTTAATTCTCCTTATAAGGTGGGCCACCTGGACTAAGTCGCAAACTATGAAGTGTACAAGTTAATAGATTTTTTTAAAGTTAACGATTAATTTTGCTTGAAATCTCCAATTTCCATTAACGAAAAACTCGAGTTATTTATGACTTCCGCCATTTTCTTGCATGAAAAATTCACAAAAACGTAAAGCTTTTGCTTGTATTTGCTCAAAAGTTACCTATTTATTTGTGATGATTTATGCAAAGAGTTGGCGACACAATTTCAATATCAGTAAAATAGTATAACTGTGAGTGCAAATGTATTAATGTTCCTTTAATGTTATTACCCGAACTATAATTAGCATACTCCTTAAATAATATTAATCTACCATTAAAAAACGTATTGTATTGAAAAGGGTCGATAACTATTATACCGCTGATGGTCAACTTTTTTCAGTGTATTTCGATACTAGTTTTCATACATTTTCATCTTTTAAAGGTACTACGAGCAAAAGTTTAGGCTAAAAAAATCTGGCATTGAAAATTTGATCTACTTAATTGAAAATTATGGCAACAACAAAAACCTATGTTTGCCAATTGAGAGTTTACGACAAGCTGCAACAAACACTGCCATTCAAGAGAACTTTTCCATTAAATTTACCAACGATTATAAAGACACAGCTGAATATTTGGTAAATTTTACCGATATTTTGGAGATTATGTTCAAGGTAGATTAACTTCATATTCGAAAATTTATTTTGATCAAAAAATAGATATTTTTAGTCGAAAACATTAGCAAGCTGTGATAAGAAAAATATGCTGCCAGTGGATATCAACAGCGATCTTGTTAGCCTGATGATTTTCCAGGAATTTAATTTAGCATCCATGAAAAGCAAGGTATGAGTGCAAATTCTTCTGAGTACCGTAACGTAAATTATTTTTTCAATAATGAATGATGGTAAATTTTAGAAAATGACGGTCAGCGATCTTTTCGTGAAAATGTTGATTCAAATTAGAGGCATGTCAGTGGAAAGGGCTTTAGCCATAATCCAACAATATCCCTCCCCATATTTGCTGAAAGAGGCATATGAGAGTAATGATTCCGAAAGTGTAAACGAAAAACTTTTAGCTACTATAAAATATGCCACAGGGAAAAAAATTGGCCCAGCACTTAGCAAGATCGTTTTCAGATTTTTTTGTAAGCTGCAGTATTAATCTTTTGATTAAATATTTGTTTCACTAACGTTTCAGTGTGGCCGCTTTTCTAAACCCATTCAAAAATAAAGTAAAAATAATAAATAATTATGGCATGTAGAAACAGTAAAGTAAAGCTGTAAAACAAAAGAAAGTGATGTATCTATTTGCGAATGTATATATAGGCACATTTTTGAATTTCCAGATCAATTAAATCTAAAACCATCATTAACGTTAATTTTACTTGCTGTTAATGAATACTTGTAAAAGAAAATTTACTTATATTTTGACTCACATTAACAAGAAATTAGTTTTTCGAACTAATTAAATGTTTGAGTCAAACAAGAAACTAGACTGTTACGAGAGTTGTTGGTCCTCATTGCTGTAAAATACTAGAGGTTCCCCCACTGGAGATTTTCGCGGTTTTTTAAAGAAAAAATCTACTTTAAGCAAATAATCTAATAACACCATAAGGAGGTATATTAATGACCATATCAGTAAATAGAGCAAAACCAAAAACATATGTTCCAGAGTTAATCGTAAAAAAACCCTTTGATTGGCTTGGGATCCGTTGAGAGCTCTCCTAGATTGATTAACAACTGCGTAACGTTGAAAACAATGTCGCAGTTTAAATGAAGAAAGGTGGAAGAGTTTTGTGTAAAAAATTTTTTTTGTAAAAATGGACAAATGAAAGCATAAATAGATGAAATACATTTTTCGGAACATTGGGAAGGGAAACGGTGGATTATCCCCTGCAAGCCTGGAGACTAGTGGCGGGAACAAATAAAAATAGTTTTTTTTTTTTTAGTTTAAAGTTGTCCATTCTCACACGTTCTTACAATAAATCGTCCTCAGATCGAATATATTCCCCAATATCCGATTGATGAAAACATACCACTGTTAATGGATCTACCATTTTACATTCCGCTGTTGATCGTGCTGCAACCCCGAATCCCAAAGGCAGATCCGACATGCTATACACCAAGGCTCCTTGATATTTTTCACAGTTTTCACTTATACGTCCTAAACCGGCTTTGGTCACGTTGTTTCCATATAAAAATTGCTGTTCTGCAGAAGATTTTAACCATATTTTGCACTGAAAAGAACGCATTTTCACAATCACATTACTTACTAGGTGATAGTGATTTAATTACCTGTGCATAAGGGGCTATATAATTTAAGGCAGTTATATGCAGTTTGAATTTTCCCGTTTTGGTAAATTTCCCAAAACACGTTCCTAATGAAATGATGTTATCAGCCGGCATGGTATTTGCAAACTTAAGAATGTTTTCGGATACATAGTAAACTCTGTTTTTCTGCTCACGAAAACAATAAATACCATCTGGTCTCTCTATCAGTTGCTTGATATTGGGGCCAATGCTAAACAAAATATGAATTAAGCCTTACTAACAAGGAAAAACATCTTGAATTTCAGTTTTAAGGAACTAAGGGTTTATGCCGGTAATTCTACTTACTATTTTGCTAGTTTTTCAAACAAAACTTTTGTTCTGTCTTCTGATAGTCTCCTCATTTTGTATATTAAATTTAAAAATGTGCTTTAATTTAATAAACACTAAACACTGGCGACTAACGAATTTGAGGTTACGCCAATATGAAAGCATGTTCTTCTTTTGATGCCCCAGTGATTTGTCAATTCTTCCTTGTCGGGATTTTATAACGAGCACAGAACAACCCTTAGGCGAATGTTCTGTGATAACAAGTAAAGTAAGGTGTATACACTTGCGTCTACGGATCAGCCTTACACAATTTATTCATGTGTAGTGGGGGATCCTTTAAGAATAGCTGAGTTCTTCAGTTACCCATACATTACACTAATGTTATAAAAATGAACATTTTTTGAATCATTTTTAAGAATAATTGTGAACTAATGCAATGAACAACATGATCAGCTAATCTATAAGTAACTAACGATCATTACTAGGAATAAAGAATGTCTAAAAGCATAGCAACAGAATTTACAAGTTCTATACATATAATACAATTTTAACAATATTTAATAGTTGTACATAATCTACAGAAAGTAATGTTGACGGGCGTATAACCGATAGTACAACCCGTTTCTCTCAATTAAATCTGTGTGGGCCCCTTGTTCGACAATAACCCCGTTATTTACCACGCATATCAAGTCGGCGTCCTGGATGGTTGTTAAGCGATGCGCTATTGTTAAACACGTCCTGCCTTGTTTGGCATTGTCCAGAGCGTCCTGGACAACCTGGGTATCGAACACTTAGCAATAAACCCTGAACAGTATGGGGCGATGAGACTGAAATACCTTTTCACTTTCTGCGTCCAAAGCCGAGGTGGCTTCATCCAGCAGTAGCACCTTCGGGTGTCTAATCAGAGCTCTTGCGATGGCGATTCGTTGTTTTTGGCCTCCAGATAGCTGGGTTCCTTTTTCCCCGAGTTTCGTATTGTAGCCCTGAAAATCCATGACCGGCTTACTTGTTTCTTTCACCAAAAGCTACTCACTTCAGGTAGTTGCGTAATAAAGTTATGAATGTTGGCTTTTCTGGCTGCTTCGATAATTTCCGAGTCAGTAGAGTGCCTTGAGTTATCTCCATAGGCGATATTCTCTGCTATAGAGCGACTGAATAAGTTCGGTTCTTGCGAGACAATTCCCAAATGCGACCTACAATTAGACTTAATTAATTAATCATCAAACTTCCGGCTATATTCTTTTGCTTAACCTCAATGAGGCTAAAGTAATGGACTTAATATCATCCTCATCCAAAGACACAGTGCCTGAAGCTGGATCATAAAAGCGCTCCAGTAGGTGAATAATAGTGGACTTTCCACACCCACTAGGACCGACTAGAGCAACGGTTTTTCCTTGCAAGACTGATAAATCGAGACCTTTCAGCACCTCAATCGAGTCTCTGGTCGGGTAGGAGAAGTGAATCTGAGAATAGTTAACGTTGCCATCCGCCTGGAAAGCTCGGGATATTAAATTCGACAATCCGCGCAAGGTGTTCTTACAGTGTTCTTGATAAGAGCGTTTTGGCTGTTGCTGACTTTCGGGATTCTATTAATCATGTTCATCACTGTACGTGCTGCTACCAATCCTTTTTCGAAGTTGGGTGTAAATGCTAGTGAGTTTGCTATGGAAACTGTACCCATTATTAAAGCCTGCGCAACCCTAAAGAAAACGAATTAAAAAAATGTTTAATTTAATATTGTAGCTTGAGAAGGCTAAGGTGATTTTCTATAGTAGGCAAAAATTGAATTTGAATTTGGCGCGTGCCCGTTGTTCGCGCAAGCATTCACACCTAAATCAACAGCATTTGGCTTTTGTCAACCAATCATAATCGCGGAGTCCTCAACAGTTCGCAGTTAAGAGCATTTGCACCGACCATTAAGTGGTCCAGTCCTGCGCCCAGAATCTTCAATGCCCCAAAGTCCTCAAAAGCCTCCAAAAACGCATAAAAACGCGTTTTTTATAAATTGTTGTTACTTTTATCTCACACCGTTAGTGTTAGCTTCTCTTGCTGAACGTCAACTTTTTTAAACGTTGAATGCCCCTACTATAAAAACCATCACCTTGACCTCAAAATGAACGATAAAGTAATAAAATCCTTCTTTCCCTAATACTCACTTGAACACTACGCCATATTGAACATTTTCGTGTTTAATCAGATAGCCTCCGTAGACTAAACAGGCGGAAAATGCGAAAATCATAATAGCTCTAGAAAAACCTGAAAATTCACATTTAACTTACAATTCCAACTTTTTTTGCTAAAATACCCAAAATAAACGCCCTGGCATGGGTATTCCTGAGACATTTCTTAATGTGAGGCATTAGCTCACTGATGTACAACTTGAAGAAGGTTTTTTCGCAGCCTAAGGATACAACTGTTCGAATACTGCCGACGGCCTCAACAGCAATCTGCAAGCAATAAAATTAACCTGGAGTGGAAATCGTTTCAGACCACATCTGGATTACTTTAGTGGACTTTTCCAAAGACTCCTTGTAATCGTCGCTCTCCTGCGACATTTGCTTTTTTTGAATGAACGTGGCTGCAATAATCAAAGGTACGAAAACCATTGCAACTAAGCCCAACCTCCATTCGTAGTAAACAGCAAAGAAAACTGATAGGATCAGAGTGGCTAGAGAATTGACGATCGCCCCAATTCGCTGGCCGGTGGCCTAAAAAGGCAAACGATCAAACATCATCCCAGACATTTAATCGATGTTCTTGCCCCTTGCACTTGAGAGGCCTCGTTCGATAGTTTGGCACAAAGAGACCCAACTCCGTTTTCGTTTCGATCGAAATACCCCATTTCCTGCTTAAGCAGTGCGTCAAACATACGACTTCGCATTCGGAGAGTCAGGTTTTCGCCAGCTCTTCCAAACATATATAACTGGAATAATCAAATTAGCCAAAACATTGACTTCTGACAAAAGTTTTACCTGTAAAAACGTAGCAAACATCGCTAGAACGCCAGCAAGAACAAAATATAGGATATATTTGTTAGTTTCCTGCCTCACATAGTTTTTGTCGCTGTCTTGCAACACCTAAGAGAAAAGTAAGACATGACATTGAGGGCGTAATGTTTCCATTACTCCAGGTAGTGAATTTACCTGTAGAATACTTCCCAAGAGAACAGCGAATATTGGAAGTACTGTTCCCATGACCGCTGCTCCAAAGCAGCCAAGAAAGAGCGAGAGCCATTCGGGGGAATTCAGTTTCACTATCGACCATAAGGAGGCAGTTTTTACGTAGTTGTCGACTTCGGATTCTTCATCTGTTTCCTTAAGTGCTTCATGATTAATCTCAGCTACTTTAATCATCCTAACCAGATTTACCCGTTTTGGTGCAAAGTCCTCATCGTCATCCTCAACGGAGTCAAAGATTTTCTTCTCACTTGCCTCGCCGATGTTCTCAAACTGCTCACTACTATGCACCTGAGTCGTCACTAAATTCACAAACACTAGTTAAAATCTCTTCACAATTCTACATTTTCACCCCAGGAATTTGCCATTTTGTTTTATGCTTTATGGGACACCCTGTATACAGTCTAAACCATAAGACTGAGTTACAAGTTTTTTGGTAGTGATGACATGTTTTTTGGAAATAGTTTATAAAAAATTAAGAATGTCGTAAAAAAATGTTTTCAATTTTTTTTAGTTTTACCGTTGTACGCACCGATATTAAACTCAACAAAATAGCACTTACTTTATGAGATATCGAAAATCACTCGAATTATTTAAATACAGACCTGATTTTTTTCTCGTTTTTTTGTGATTTGAATGAAAATGATCCTAAATGATAATAAACATGTTCACCTTGTCGACGTTTTGGTCGAGAAATTCATCACTAAGTTTGCCACCATTGGCAAAAACGCCTTCCGTAATGTTTGTTTTTTTCGAAACCGAATAAAATTTGATAACAGGAAACTTGTAACTCTTACGAACTTACGGTTTAGAAAATATCAATAGTGGCCCTTAGCAATTAGGTATAATACCCTATAAAAAACATCCTTAATACCTAAAGCGTAATATTCGTTTTTCAACTCCATTAAATCTTCATGAGTGCCTTGTTCCACCACTTTTCCGTCGCTAATAACAACGATTTTATTAGCTCCGCGAATCGTACTGAGCCGATGCGCCACAATGATGGTAGTTCGATGTTCACTAGCCTGCACACAGAAATTGGCAATTTTTGGAAGCTTTAACTCGAAGCTGAAAACATACTCTGTCTAATGCAGCTTGCACTTTGGCTTCACTATTTGTGTCCAATGCCGACGTGGCTTCATCCAGTAATAAAATGGCGGGATTTCGCACCAAAGCTCTAGCAATTGCAATTCTCTGCTTCTGCCCTCCAGATAGTTGAGCGCCTGGAAAAGTGGGCGATATTTTCAACTTACTGCCGAAATCAAGGGGTGGTGATCTCACCTCTTTCTCCAACTAAAGTGTGATAACCCCCAGGCAATCCTTTGATGAATTGATGAGCATTTGCCATTTTTGCTGCTTGAACAATGTCTAGTTCGGTTGCGTCTCTGTTTCCATATCTGAAAAAATAGAACACTAGAACCCTCTTCATCAAGTAAAGAGTTATTTAGCTACTTGATATTTTCTGCAATTGTGGTGCCAAACAGAACAGGTTCTTGACTGACCACACCGATATATTGACGGTACCAGGATAGATCCAGCTCTTTGACGTCTTTCTCATCAATGAAAACCTTCCAGGTGGACAGAAATTAGAAACGTTTTAGAGAAAAAGTCTTATAACCCACTGGGCTCTTAGAGGCACCAGTGAGATGTGGCTAAAGGCGGAAGGGTGTAGACAAGCCAAAGAGTTGATTGGAACTCCAAGTGACGCAAAGGTAACAGCGAAATGGTTGATGCTAAGGAGTCGTTGGGCCCTGAGAACTCTGGTGGGGGTCATGACAGGCCACTGTGGTCTGAACAGATACCTACACCTACTAGTAATTGGTGATAGTCCCGTATGTCCACAATGTGGATTGGCTGGTCGTCGGTGGTCGTCTACCAGGAGGCGCCTCCTCGGGGCGTCTCCCGCATCGAATTGGTGTAGAGACGGATCTTTGCCTTTGTCAGGGAGACGGGACGCCTGGGGGTGAAGATCAGGAGTGGTGAGGTGGGGATGTATTGAGAGGGAATGGCAAAATGGCAAAAAGGGCGTTTAAGGCCTACTCGCCACACTCACATCGAGTCCCCCCACAATACTACTACTACTACATAACCCACCTGGCCTTGTAGAGGATCGTAAAACCTTTGCACCAATTGCAAAAGAGTGGACTTCCCACATCCAGACCTGCCGACCAAAGCCACTGTGTCTCCAGCCTGGATCTCCAGATCAATTCCTTGGAGAACCTGGAAAAGTTCATAATCTAGCCACCAACTGGTTCTGAGTGTTAGTATATTTACTGGCACATCCTTTCTGGATGGGTATTGAAACTTGACATTTTGAAGCTTGATATTGCCCCTCACTTGAGCCAGCTTAGCTCCATTGTTCTTCGATTGGTTGATTATCGGGGAAGTTTTGATCATGTGGAAAATCTTTCTTCCTGCCGCTTTGGCGGTGGCAAAAGCCTCAATGAAAGGTGAGGCCGATCCAAAGCTCATACTGCCGGCCATAACGCTAAAGAATACCTTTTTGAGCAGTTATTTTCAACGTCGAAAAAATAGTGAAATGCTCACGGTTAACATGTTTCCAGGGGTGTACACGGGGTTTCCATCCAGCATAAGTTTGATGCCATACCAAAAGGCCAAGCCATAGCTGGAGAAAATGCACAACCACAGCATACCATAACCGATACCTTCGAAAAAATGCCTCCTGATGTTGTTATCCTTTGCAAAAATCAGGTTCTTCTCATATCTGGAAAAAACTTGCAACGTTAACCCTTGACTTTAACTGTTTCAAGGCTTTCAGTTCAATAACATTGCCTCTGAGTTTCCAGTTTTTCTCCTCCAAACCCAATGACTGTTCTAATCGACGTTATAACTTCCTCTGCAATTGAACCAGCTTCAGCATAAGCGTCTAGTTCCTTTTTCGAGAACTGGGTAGTCAACTGAGAATGGTTCAAGCAGTTAAATAACTGTCCAGAGAGAAAATAGAGTACTTACATAAGCGATCAGGCCAACAGCAATAAAAGAAACTGGCAGAGAAATAAGGCAAATTAGAGCCAGCTCCCATCCTTTCACCAAAGCTAGAGTGATGGCGGAAATAAACGACCCTTGAAGGGTTAAGAAGAGTGGTACTTTTTCCCCAATGCCATCCTCAAATTTGGACAAGTCGCTGAAAGTTTGAGTTTTAGGTAATAGGAGCTTTGGAATTTGTTGCTTACTCAGCCATTCTACTGGAAAAATCTCCTGAATTGTGCACATCGAACCAGGAAATGTCCTTGTTGAGCAGCTTTTGCAGATAGAGCGACCTCACTCTGAAGACCTGATAAATGACAAAATTCTTCCCAGGACACTTTATAAACCTGCAAAAACCCACTTGTTTAATGGCATTGTAGCTGAAAGCCTCAGTAGCCAGATAGCCAGTAATCATAATAGCGACACCGTTTATGGAGCTCCATATCCCAAAGTGTTTAATTCCTGCTGAAAGATTGTCGCCTGCGACACTGCAATTAGTGGAATTGGGGTTCAAACAAGCCTCACTGTACTCGATGATGATTTGAGTTAGATCCCCGAACAGCAAGTGGTTGAGCGGTTGGAGAGCGCCACAAATCAGAGCTATTATAGCTCCAATTATTATCACGCATTTTTGTGGTCTAGTGGCAAATCTATACTAGAAAACATAGAATTATTTTTGTAAGGCAGAAAGGTTTCTGAGCACTAACCAATCCAGTAAATGAGGAAGCATCGGTGGACTCCGGATCATCTATTGGTGGGACATTTCTGAAAAATCGAGCACTCATGATAGTTGAAAGCTTCAGGACATTGTCATGGACTTACACATCTGAAGCCCGCTCCTTGTCTGTGGCTGTACCATCGTGTCTTTCTGTCATATTATATCTGAAAAATCAATTAATTTTGTTTGTTACAGGAGCGTTCATCATTAGATAACGTCAGTTATTTCATCAAAATCATTAGCTTTATACTGTTGTGCGCTGCTTAGCCTCAATCGGCTTCCTGATTTAAAAATAGTTTTTCTTACTCCTAATATATAATAAAATTGAAGCTAGTTAATTTTTCAATTCCAAAAATCGAGTTCAAAATTCTTACCTAAGTCAGCATATTTAGATCGGTATGTCGGAGAAACCACCACATTCAACAACGCTTCATTAAATAAGTACAACCGGCTGATCTATTGAGATTTTGATAAGTACTGACAATATTTGTGATAAAAAGAACAACAATTTTCTGAATGTTACCAATCATGTCTACCTTTATCAGCGAGTAAAATGATTAGATACCTAATCCCTCCACGAGTTTTGCTATGCTTCCTAATTAATAAATATACATATTCCTGCTAGTCATTTTAGGGTGGTTGGAAAAATTGAGGATAGATCATTAATCCAAAGCCTCACTTTGTTTATGTGTATTTTATGTTCAGTTAATTGTACAATTGTAGCTTAAGCACGGGTTTAATAAGGATGTGAAGTTTCATTCAGACACAATAAAGATCTTGATAAATCAGTCATCTGTTTAAAGTACATACATCACATGAAAATAGTGATGAAGGACACTTGGCGGTTTAGAGGTACCTATTTGACTTGAGTAGAAATAAAGGCTCAATTATTGACTAATACATTCAAGTTACATTCGTTCTGGGTTTAACCCTTTTTGAGGATTTTATAATTCTGTGGTTAAACCTTAACTTTCGAATTCAATTTACAATTACATACAAAATATTTTGGTAGGTAGTTTATGTTTTTATAGATAATATAGGTAGGACCTAGACGGATATAGATAGTACTTATGTTGACTGTGATTGATGTTATTGAGTAAATACATTTTTATTTATAAGGTGTTTAGAATTGTGTTCTTTAGTAAAAAATCCATTTATTATACCTGATGCTACGAATTTTGCTGATTAATACTTATTATGGTTACTTATTATAATGGATAATAGTCGCGAGAGATGTTTATTTGTTGTGAATATTTACAAAAATATGCTCAGTTCGTTTTAATTCATAATACCTACCTAGGAATTTAAATATTTTCACCGTATCATTTCTTGAACATGTATGTTACTTCATAATATTGTGTTTGATTTCTCTTTGGTAAAAATGGCCATTGTATTTGCACTGTATTATAAACCTAAATACCAAGCTATATACTACAAAAAACCACATAGATATTTCCACAATGCGCTATTAGGACAAG